AAACATTTTGCTGAAACTACATCATGAGAAAGACCATCTGTCTTATGTGTTATGGTTGCTGATACAAAGTCTATGTGTCATAAACCTTTTCCATCTGTTTAGTAGATCATTTATTGTCTTGTAGATCACAGCTAAATGTACAGTCATTTGGAGATAGAGATGAAAAATCCCTTTTCAAAGTTGCCAGAAAGATTTACACAGGAGGACTGGGGGATGTCTCAGTGAGTAAAGTGCAGGCTGTGTGTGCGTGTGGATCCAAGTTTGGATCCCCATCACCCCCGAGTAAAGAAACAGGACCTGGAGGCCAGTGTCTAGAATCCCAGTGCTGGGGAGGGAGGCAGGTTGGGAGGGATCTCAGAGCTCTTGGTCAACCAGCCTTACTGAATTGGTGAGCCCCAGGTTCAAAGACACCCTGACTCCACAAATAGGATGGAGAATAACTGAAGAAGACATCTGATGTTTCTAACCTCCATGTAAACCTGCACACACACACACACACACACACACACACACACACACACACACACACACACACGGGTAGGGGGTAGGTGTAATAATTTACATTTGTGTTTTCAAAAGGATGATCTATTCACTCTTTCATGTTCAAGCTTTTTTAGAGAGTCAGATAGAGTGGGTGGTGGTGCAAGCCTTTAATGCCAGCACTCAGGAGGCAGAGCCAAGCGGATCTCTGTGAGTTCGAGGCCAGCCTGGCCTACAGAGCAAGATCCAGGACAGGCACCAAAACTACACAAAGAAACCCTGTCTCAAAAAAGCCAAAGACAAATTTAAAAAGAGAGAGAGAGAGTCAGATAGAGCAAAATGTCTGTCAACAGACAATGTCCTTCAGGGCCCTGCAGCTTTTCTTCATTTGAGAGCCTGGCTGGCTGCATTTGTTATTCCAGAACTATCTGTTCAAGTTTTCACACTAGATTAAGTTAGAATTTCTAAGTAGAAAAGTTAGGTCTAGTTTGTGCTTCTATTTTGTTTTTACCTGTAAATTACTGATGATTTCAAACCCTTAATAGAATTACCTTTAAGATTCTACAGAGTAGTAAGCTGGGCAGTGGTAGAACTGGCCTTGAATCCCAGTACTCAGAAGGTAGAGGTGGGTGGATCTCTGAGTTGGAGGCTGTGGAGCGAGTTCTAGGACAGCCAGGTTACAAAGGGAAGCCAGAGGAGGAGGGACTGAAGTACAGGTCAAGGAGGAATGCTATTTATCGGCTTGCTTCTCCCTACACATGCTCAGTAAGGCTTCTTACATGGCCCAGGACCATCTACCAGCAGTGACTGCTGCCCCACGGCAGGGCAGACTCTCGCACATCAATTAGCACTCGAGAAAATGACTCACAGGTATGTCACAGGCCAAGGCTAGCAAGGCAGCTATTAGGTTCCTATTCACAACTCTAGGCTATGTCCAATTAATTCTAACTAGGCACCTCTCAAATCAGGTATTTTGTGGTTCTTTCAGCAAATAAGAAGTATGCATTTAACATTTTGCTCTTTTTCAGATTAAATAATCTGTATTTACCCATCTTCAAGATTTATTGGCTCTCTGTCATCTCTTTTGCTCTTATTCCCATGTAGTGACTTTTAAAATACTGCATCCTATATTTTTCCATTAGAATTCCCCTTCAATTTTGTTTTGCAGTATCTACATTTTTGCTGAAAATTCAAAAGCCCATCAAGAACATTATATTGCAGTCCTAAGTATAATGTCTTCTTAAAGACGTGGGTTATCCTGTAGATGCTGTCAATGCTATCTTCTAAAAATTTTCCTTTTTGATTATATCAAGTACTTTAGGATTAAATTCTGGGAATTGAAACTGTGTTGCAGAAACTCTCAATTCTTTGTATTTCTCAAAAAAAATAGCGTTTTCCTTTTTCAACCAATTTTACTTTTGACATGATTCAAACTTCAAAAGCTGTTTGTCTGTGGCAGGGTGCAGCTCAGTTTCATTGTGTTAGTACTTGGGTTGCTCGCAACCTGTTAATGCATGTGTGTTATAGGGTCAGCCAGAGATTTTTTTTTTTTGCAGAATTAACACATAGAATGTATGGCTTGGCTTTCTAGCATTTTCTCTGGGTTCCCTCTTCACTTTCCAGTAGCCAAGGCTATCGGAACCTCTGTCTTCTGGTTAGTCAAACTTCTGGAATGTTAACTAGGCTTCAGAATGTGATGATGCCCTGATGCTCCTTGTCTAGTATGAGCCACTTGGAATATATCCTTGAGGTTTGGATCTCTACCGCAGTAGTTCTCAAACTGTGGGTCACAACCCTTTTGTGGGTAGCATATCAGATATTTACATTACAATTCATAACAGTAGCAAAATTACAGTTATGAAGTAGCAATGAAATAATTTTATGGTTGGGGTCACCACAACATGAGGAACTATATTAAAGGGTCATAGCACTAGGAAGGTTGAGAACCACAGATCTACGACATCACTACCTGTTACTAATTCTATATTTCTATTGAATTCAGTGATACTATATATTGTAATGAGCTACCAAAAATCAAGAAGGGTGATGTGTAACAAAAGTCCATATATATATATATATATATATACATACATATACATATGTATATATATATATGGCAAATAAGATATAGATTGAGAAACACAAAATTTTCAATTAGTCTGTATAGAAAAGCATGTCATAGAGTGCTGCTATGCGTCACAGGTATATCTAGTATCATCAAGGTGGCTCTGTAGGGAGAAGCACTTGTTCCTAATCTTGAAGGCCTGAATTCTATTTGTGGGACCCATGTGGAAGAAGGGGAGAACCAACTCCCTGGGGGTGTCCTCTCCCCTCCATACACATGTACCCTATATACAAAATACAATAAATAAATTAATAATTTTAAAAACCAATAGCTAAAGTAATATCTCACAAATGCTATCATCTTCCCACTTCTCATCCTTATTATCAGTTGTTCATAACATCAGGACTAAGGGACACCAAAAGAAACTAGAATTCTCAACCTTTTGGAGGGAAACTTCTGTCTTATTATTTTAAGATAGATTTAAAACCAATGACTTCTACTTCTTCATCTACCTGTGGCTTTTAGAAAGTTTTCCGATTACATTTCATTTCTAAATTATTTGTGTGTATGTGGAGGTCCAAGAACAAGCTGAGGGAGGGAGTTCTCCCCTTCCACCATGGAAAGGGGAGGTTCAAACTCAGGTCTTCAAGATTTGGCAGAAAAAAGTGCCTTAATCTCACTGGCCCCATCTGTAGTTCATACTGTTTATTTATCTTTTTTTAATTAATTTTTTTTTCATTTTTCATACCAACCACAGTTCCCCCTCCCTCCCCTCCTCTCCCTCCCCTCCTCTCACTCCCTTCCCCACTCCATACTCCATGCCCCATCCACTCCTCAGAGAGGGTAAGGCTTCCCATGAGGAGTCAGCAAAGCCTGGCATACCAAGTTGGGGCAGGACCAAGCCCCTCCCCTCTGTGTCAATCAAGGCTGAGTAAGGCATCCCACCACTGGGAATGGGCTCCAAAAAGCCAGTTCATGCACCAGGGATAAATCCCAGTCCCACTGCCAGGGGTGCCCCAAACAGACCAGGTCATGCAACTGTCACCCACACTCAGAGGGCCTAGTTTAATCCCATGCAGGCTCCCCAGCTGTCAGTCCTGAGTCTGTGAGCTCCTACTAGCTCAGGTCAGCTGACTCTGTGGGTTTCCCCCATCATGTCCATAGCAGCATTATTATTTTTTATTCTTTTGCTGTTGTTGTTGTTCCCTTTTTAAACAGTTCCTTAACGTGTATTGAAACCATTCTTAGTGTGAGAGGCTGTATGGAAACAGTGAGTTCTGGCTTACTATTTCTGGAGTCAACATTCTTACTGCATGGTGTGGCAGAAAACCAGACAACATGAGGCGTGTGAAAACACACTGTAAGTCGCTAGCGATGGATGAGCTATTATAATAATAAAGAAAATTACCTATTTGTCACTCAGAGGGCTGCACAAAGGTCTGAGGGAATTAAGCATAGGCGAAGTAAGATTTGGTGGAGGGATGATACAGGAAAATTCTAGGTCTTGTCAGATGAGTATGGCAAGTATTCTATTTTCTGTATAATAATGTATAGTTCCTGTCCTAATTCCATGAGCAAGAGAGGGGAAGGGAAATTCAGTGCACATATCATTTCCCCGTGTCCCAATGTCCCAATGTTTCTCTTCTATTTTTTATTTTATTTTATTTTATTATTATTTTTTTTTTTGAGACAGAGTTTCTCTGTGTAGGCCTGGCTGTCTTGGAACTCACTCTGTAGGCCAGGCTGGCCTCGAACTCACAGAGATCTGTCTGCCTCTGCCTCCGAGTACTGGGATTAAAGGTATGTGCCACCACTGCCTGGCTCATTTCCCAATGTTTCTAAAGTCAGGCTTTAGCAAACAAATCTGCTTAGTCTGGGGTCAGAGGGAAAATATTGATCCTCCATCTTAATCATCTCCAGCCAGGAAAGGGTCATCTTGACTTTCCATAACTAGATTAGGACATATAGGTTGTCAGAGGATGAACTTGTCTCTGAGTTCCTATCTTTCACTTTTATGTAATAGTTTTTCAACTGATTTTGGTTGGCCAATTTAAAAATGAATGTCTACACCCTGTGAGTCTTCACTGATACTTTTGAGTGGACATGAAAAACAAAACAAAACTAAAAAAAAAACAAAACAAAAACAAAATGAACCAAGGGCTGGAATAACTCAGTAATTCAGAGTTACAGAGGACCCAAGTTTGGTTTCCAGTATCCATATCAGAGAACTCAAAAGTCTATAACTACAGTGCTAGGGAATTTGATATTCTCTCTCTCTCTCTCTCTCTCTCTCTCTCTCTCTCTCTCTCTCTCTCTCTCTCTCTCACACACACACACACACACACACACACACAAATTAAACATAAAAATAAAATCCTAAAAAAATTAAATCTAAATTTTCACGTTTTTTAATTGATCATAATATTTTTAGGAGAAACAGACAAAGCACCTTCCCCAAGATTCAAGTTCTGTTTAATTCAAATTCATTGACATTGCTGATAACAAAATCTATCCTAATTTAATTCATTAACCCTTTACATTTAAAAGGAGTATTTTTTAAAAATAGTATACAGCATGGCTGTGAGCAAGGGACTAAGAGTCTTGTGTGTTCAAGACTCCTTCTAACAATCGGAGATTAGGGTTCTATCAAATCTCTGTATGCTGGTGCAAGTCATACACAGTCACTGTTTTAAGCAACAGTGGTACCATGCTGGCTGGGTCCTTAGGTGCAGAAAGCACCCTGGTTTTGCAGTTTCACAATATCTCTTAGTCATGTCAAGAATTGGAAGCAGATGATTAAATAAAAATGTGCGTCCCAGAACATGCTTTTTAATCACATTACATGCATTGGCTAAGACTGTAACTTGACCATCGGGCACTGCGTCAACTGAGGAAGTGCAGGAAGAGTAAGATGAACACAATCAGGTATCAGGAGAAGGAAGATGCTGGGCGCCCTGGAGCCACAGCCCATGCCATTCAGAATGGTATTAGTGGAGTCTGCCAGTACAAAATAACAATGTACAAATCAGAAGGACAATCTTAGGATTGTATTTCTGAATCACACAACCTACAGGCGTTCTCATAGGAATTGCTAATGCCTATGACTAACATCCATTGGGATTTTTTTTTCTAATAATATTGGAAACTAACCCTCAAAATGTAAAATTCAAAACCTTTTTAGCAGATCTTCTTGACAGCCTTATAAGAAATGCATAAAGAAGTTAGTTGTATGAAATCAGGATTCCCTAAGTGGGCGTGGAACAAGTCTGAGGCTCATAATTAATTCTTCCTATTCTCTTTCTGTCACTCATGACTATATCATACTATTACCATTTGTTATAGATTTTTACTTCGAATGGTTATGATCAATTAATGAATATTTATTGAGCACCTTTTTTATGTTTGGTGAATTTCCATCAATAGAT